TTTGGTCAATGACATGAGACAAAGTATATGTGAACTGCTGTATGAAAAGTGAATTTACTCTGTAAATCTTCACCCAAATCCTAATAAAAAAAAAAATATTAATGAATATTCTTAGGCATTCCGAAGTGCTCAATTTTTTTGTACAGTACAAATTATGTTCAGGCCTGGGCAGGTCGAGTTGTACTGTCTCCCACAAACTGCTTCACCTCTGAGCATCTCTTCCCTCATCCCAGATCTTTTGGTTAACACCAACATTCCATGTGTACATGACTCTCCCTCCTAGCTTACCCTTCTACTCACACTCAAAGTATGAAACATGGCCAAGTGATCTTAGTAAAATCAGGGAAACTACCTTAAAGAAATATAAGGTAAAATTTAAGAAAATTCAATCAAATGGTCTATTTTTCCCCACTTTTTAAAATCAAAATATTTAACTCATCCAGAAAATAAATAAATAAATAAATTCTTGTGTGATAGATGGTTTCCAAAGATGTCCTCCCAGTTAGTAGCTTATCCTTTCACTTTTTTGACAAAGATTTTTCAGAAACAAGAGTTTTTCTTTGTTATGAGGTCCTGTTGTCAAGTATTTAATTTTACTTGAATCCACAATCAACACCCATGATGCAACCGTCGAGAAGTGAAACTGCATGTTGCATTTGGCAGATCTACTGCAAAAGACCTTTTTTTTGCTCAAGAGCAAAGATGTTACTTTGAGGACTACGGTGCACCCGATCCAAGCCATGGTATTTTTAGTAGCCACATATGCATGTGAGAACTGGCCAGTGAATAAAGAAACCTGCAAAAGAATTGATGCATTTGATTTGTGGTCTTGGCAAAGAATATTGAATGTACGAGGACTGCTGGAAGAATGAAAAGGTCTGTCTTTGAGGAAGTATTGCCAGAATGCTCCTTAGACCAAGAATGGCCAGACTCCATGTTTCCTATTTGGTCATGTTGTCAGAAGGGACTAGTCCCTAGAGAAGGTTATCTTGCTTGGGAAAGTGAAGGTCAATGAGAAGGGGAAGGACCCTCAATGACACAGTGGCTGGGACAGTGGGCTCCAACGTGGCAACAGCTGTGAGGATGGCTCAGGACCAAGCAGTGCTCAGTTCTGTTGTCCATAGGGTCACTGGGAGTCAGAACCAACTCCATGGCATCTAACAACAACAACTTTGTCTTTTGCTGTTTGTGCTTCTGTTATATTAGACAAACTGTTGTTAAAAGCTTGGCCTAACAGCCTTACTTCTGCTTTTCCTTCTAAGGATTTTGTGGTTACTCCTTAACCATTTAGGTCCTTCATCCATTTTGAGTTTGGTTTTGTATATGGTGTGAGTCATGGATCCTGTTTTCTTTTTCTGCATATGGAAATCCAATTTTCCCAGAACCATTTATTGACAGGACTCTTCTTTCCCCACCAAATGGATTTAGCACTCTTGTAAAAAATCAGTTGAGCATAGATGTGTAGGTTCATTTCTGGACTCTTGATTCTATTTCATTGGTCTATGAGAATGAAAGCAGCGTAAACGTCAACTCAGAATGTACAGTGGAACCTCAGGGAGCATACAGAAGGAAAGAGCACCAACACCCGGGTGCCACCCAGGGATTCTCACGCAGTTGTGCAAGGTTCAGCCCAGCATCAGTATATTCTAAAAGCTCCCCAACTTATGCCAACAGGCCTCCAGGATTAAAGACCACTGTTGTAGATTCAGGAGCCGGGTGGCGTAGTACCTAAGACATTTGACTGCTAACCAGAAGGCTGGTAGTTCAAATCCACCAGCCACTCCTCGGAAGGAAGGTTGGGCAATCTGTTCCCATAGTGATACCACCTCAGAAACCCAAGGAGGAGTCATTATGAGTTGGATCCAACTCGATGTCTGTGCATTTAGTGGTGCAATACTTAAGGGTTTGGTTGCTAACTGAAAGGTCAACTGTTTGAACTCACCAGCCACACTGCTGGAGAAATATGAGGTAATCTGCTCTAGTAAAGATTTAAAGACTCAGAAACCTTATGGAACAGTTGGGCTCTGTTCTACACAGTCACTGTGAGTCAGGTTTGGGTAGACTGCAACAGATTTGGGTTGTAGATTCTGAGAGCATTTCCAAAAGGGAAGGGAAAAATATTCATTAGCTGAGAAGGTTTTCAAAGTGACCACTTAGAAAGGAAAAGCTTAAGCTCTATGTAAAATATTTTATCACACAATAGTTAAAAAATATATCATTAACTATACCTGGCTATAGTTATGTCAGAGCCCTTTGACAGGCATCTGTACTTAGTCTTAGTTCCTTGCAGACACTGAGACATAGATTATTGCATTACAATGAGTTGGCAGGTTTCTATACCTGGGATTGGTGGTCCATGATTCTTCCATCAGTTAGAACATAGGTTCCTGCCAATCACTGTTCTTAGAGCCCCTTTCAACTCCTTGTTCCTGAGGCTGTAGATGAATGGGTTCAGCATGGGAGTCACCACTGTGTACATCACAGTAGCTGCAGTGTCTGTCTCAGCTGAATGGGAGGATGAAGGGTTGAAATACACAGCAATGATGGTGCCATAGAAGAGGGAAACCACAACCAGGTGGGAGCCACAGGTGGAGAAGGCCTTCCATTTTCCCTTTGTGGACGGCACTCTCAGGACTGCCCAAGTGATACAAATGTAGGAAACCAGGATACAAACAAATGGAGGGATCATAATCAGGGTGCCCTCAGTGAGAATCATGATGTCATTGAGGTGTGTTTCAGAGCAGGAGAGTTTCAGGAGAGGAAGCACATCACAGAAGAAGTGGGGGATCGTGTTGTCTGCACAGAATGAGAGTCGGGCCATCAGCAGGGTGTGCAACAGAGAATTCAGAATGGCAATGACCCAGGATCCAGTGACGAGCAGGACACAGAGCTGAGGGGTCATCTTTGTTGTGTAGTGTAACGGGTGACACACAGCCACAAAGCGGTCATAGGCCATCACAGCCAGGAGGAAATTGTCCATGTCAGTAAATCCAAAGAGAAAGTACATCTGTGTGAGACACCCCAAGAAGGAGATGGTCTGACTGCCAAGTATGTGATTGGTCAGCATCTTGGGGACAGTGGTGGAGGAGAAGCAGACGTCCACGAAGGACAGGTTGCTGAGGAAGAAGTACATGGGGGTGTGCAGGCGGGAGTCTGTGCTGATGGCCAGGAGGATGAGCACGTTGCCCAGGACCGTGGCCAGGTACATGCTCAGGAAGAGCACAAAGAGGAGCTGCTGCTGCTGGGGCTGCCTGGAGAGCCCCAGGAGGAGGAACTCGGAGAAGCTCGATTGGTTTGCCCCTCTCATGGTCGTGGAGCCAGGTTAATGCACTACAGCAACTTCAGAAACCTAGACACAGAGGCTTGAAATGGGGCAAATCAAGTTGCAGGTCAAGCCATGCATGCAACCCAGTTAATGGTTTCACTAGAATAGAATCAGCCAATCCCAACGATACACTCAACTTACAACCCTCAGTCTTGGTGCTGCTCCTACTGTAATCACTGGCTCTTATTTTGCATGGTGAACATTGAAAAACACACAGGCCTATACACAGACCAACTCTATTTCTGTGCTTCCATTTCCCAGTTTGCACCCGAAGTCCTTCATCACGCCTACAGAGACAAGAGAAACTGCTGATCATGCCTGGGTTTATCACAAGTTCGAGCTGATGGATGCAGGCCTCCTACTCTACTGCTCCTGGATCTGGAAGAACGTCATGTCTTCATGGACAAAAATGTCTCCTCTGCTGTAGCCATACCTGGGGAGGTTGATTCTGTAGCTGTGTTCTTCACCTCCGCATAACGGGCCAGTGCTTCTCTTTATTGTGGGTGTTGGAAATGTTGGTAATATAGGCAGGTCCTGCTCAGGTGAGCAGCAGGTGTTCAGCATGATGGTCCTCTGGGTAGAAAAGGTGTTGGAGGGATCACAGAGGAAGCATTTGCTGGAGCCTCCATAGCCACTGGGACCAGACTCCCTGAGAGCCTCATTAGAGACAAGAAGAGAGTAATTGTCCCACCCATCTTTTGGCCCCTTTGGACCAAACAATGATGACAAAGATTAGCTAAGATTTAGATAAAATTTTTCGGTCAAAACTTTCAGATCTTAGACACGGAGACATCTTGGTGGATGTAAATCTCAGGAAAAATTCCTTTGCTCTTCTAGTTCTGTTTCCAGGGATGTGGAAATTCAGTTATTAAATCCTTTTCTTCACTAGAGGGCAGCATACCATTGGCTGATTAGCGCTGCTTGAGAAGCCCACTGGCCTTGTGGAGTTGGCTGTATGTAAGGGTCCACACAAGAGACTAAGAATATCATACACAGAGATCCTTGAAGTTCTTGAGCAAATCCCCAAAAATACAGCGTATAGAAAGTATACAGAAGAGATTAAAAGTGAAAAGATGAGTATGGTTAAAGCAGAACCAGGTATTAAAAATTGGGAGACAACCTTCAGGTGGAAAACTTGAAGAAATGATTATTCAGGCTGAAAAATGAATTAAGTCTGTTGAAAAAAAATCATACAATGGAAATTGAGGCAGCCTTTAGTTTGACTGCTAACTAGAAGGCTGGCAGTTCAAATCCACCAGCCACTCCTCGGAAAGTAGGTTGGGCAATCTACTTCTGTAGTGATAACACCTCGGAAACCCAAGGAGGGGTCACTATGAGTTGGATCTGACTCAACGGCAGTGTTTCGTTGGTTTCATTGGTTAGTGGAAGAACTTCCTGCTAATCAGTGGAAAAAGCAACTATAATCATCATTCAGTGATCTCAGTGTTTTGATGAGAAAATGATGTAATTAAATGCTATATTATTAAAATGTCTCCATGTTATTGAAATCTTCCAAAAAATGATTATCTTCTCACATCCCATGTTCAGAACTGGGGCTATCCCTTTGTTTTCTTTGTACCTCTTGCTTTCTCATGTATCACTGATCATCTCGAAAGATGCTGAGGGGCAGCACATTGGGAACACATTACAAAGCTGGACTTAGTCCATGCAATCATTTGGGATAAAGCCTAGTCTGAAGGGGCATTGTCCCAGGGAGAGCCCAGCAAGCTGTGATGGATGACTCTACACTCCTTGTAAATGAAGAAGAACGTGGCATCAGGATTGGAGGAAGTCTCATTAACACTCTGTGATATGCAGATGACACAACCTTGACTGCTGAAAGTGAAGAGGACTTGAAGCACTCACTGATGAAGACTACAGCCTCATTTAGAGATCATACCTCAACATAATGAAAACAAAAGTCCTTACAACTGGACCCATTAACAACATCATGAGAAATGGGGAAAAGATTGACCTTATCAAAGATTTCATTTTACTTGGATCCACAGTCAACGCTCATGAAAGCACCAGTCAGGAAATTAAATAACATAGTGCATTGGGCAAATCTGCTGCAAAAGTACTAAAAAGCAAAGATATCACTTTGAGGACTCAGGTGTACCTGACCCAAGGCACAATATTTTCATTCATTGCATGCAAAAGCTGGACAGTGAATCAGGAAGACCAAAGAAAAATCGATGCCTTGCAGTCATGGTGTTGGTGAAGAATATTCAGTATACCATGAAGTGCTGAAAGCATGACCAAATCTGTCTTGGAGAAGTACAACCAGAATACTCCTCAGGATCAAGGATGGGGGGACTTTGTCTCCCATATGTTGGTCATGTTGTCAGGAAGAACAGGGTCTGGAGAAGGAATCATGCTTATTAAAGTAGAGGGTCAGTGAAAAGTGAAGACCTCAACCAGGTGGGTTGACACAGTGGCTGCAACAAGGGGCTCAAACAGCGAGGATTGTGAGGACGGTGCGGGGGGAGGGGGAGTAGTGCTTCCTTCTGTTGGAGAAGAGGTCCCCTGAGTCAGAACCGACCTGACGGCACCCAATGAAAACAACAGACCCTTTTAGGATACGCTTCAAACCCACATGCTTTAACCTTTTCTCAGAGTGGAAGCCCCTACTCCATGCCGTCACAGTGGGGTGTGGCCCCAAGGTCATGTTATCCTTTATGACCTCCCCCTTTGCCATAGCTGAGGCGACCAGGGTATTTGGAACTGGGATTGTGGGGCAGCCAGTGCATATCATTCTGTGGCTTGGCTGTAATGTGTAAACCCAACCCTCTTCTCCTGCTTCGTTGACTGCCCATGGACTGAGGAGCAGAGGGGACTGCAGAGAGGGGTTTAAGAAGGAAACACACAGAGAAGAGAAGGGATTAGTCTGAGGAACTCCTCCTGGTTTTCTAGTTCTGGGGTCAGTCCTTTCCTGATGCTTGGCTGCCCTTCAGCATTTTTCTGTAAGGGGTCTCAGCTACAAGTAACAGACACCAGCCCTGGCCCACTTTAGCAGAAGAGGATTTCATGAGAAGAATATTGAGAAAGATTAGGCAGGAAGCTTGGGGCAGTGAGTTCATGTTCATGGTGAAGAATAATCTAGAAAAGAAGAGGGAGAGTTGACTGTACAACGTGAAGAATGGAGTCAATGGCACTGAATTGTACACACAGAAATTGCAGAATTAGTGCATGTTTGGCTGTGTAATTTTTCAACAACAGTTTTTAGTATTTTTTTTTATTGTGATTTTGGTGAATATTTACAGAGCAAACTCACTTTCCATACAGCAATTCACATACACTTTGTCTCATGACATTGACCACAATTCACCACAAGGCAACAGCTCCCCTCTCACTTCCTCCCCATAGTTACCTCTTCCCTGTGTCCTTCCCTCCATGCACTCCTGTCCCCTGAGCTGTCTCCCTGTGCACACACAGCCCTTCTTCCATGATTGTTCTCTCCAAGGAGTGAATCTACCTCAAGTAAGTGTTCAACTCATATGCCTGTCTTTTGCTTGGCTGGAAACCAAAGGTGTGGGTTCATTCCAGATGTGAAGGGCAGCTAGGGACCATAATCTCAGGGGTTCCACAAGGCTCTATCAGACCAGCAAACCTGGTTCCCCCCCTTTTTTTCCCAAAAGCTTTTGAGTTTTTTCCCAAATGCTTTTGAGTTTTTTCCCACATTGTTCTCCCTCTCTATCCAGGGTCTCCTACATAGATCCCCCTCCGAGTGGTTGACATTGGTAGCCAGGCACCATTTAGTTTCTTGGGTCTCATAGTCATATACGCTGAGGATCACATGGTGTACCAGTCACTGGAGTAATTCTTTCCATGGATCTTTAGTTTCCTTCATTCTTCTTACTCTGGACAAGGAGAGACCCATCGTTGCATCTATTATGGCTGCTTGCAAGCTTTTAAGATCCCAGTTGCTACTCACCAAAGTAGGAGGTGAAACAATGTTTTGTGTAGTGTGTTATTCCAATGGAACCTGATGTCCCCTGTGACTATGGTCCTGAGCCCACAGGTTCAACTACTCAGTCTCTCTGGGTAGCTGGCTGTGACCAAATAGTGACTACAACCTTGTCCCTTGTCAGCTATACTATACACCTGGGAATTCAGATCATACAAATACATTTATAGGACCATTGTCTGCCAACCCTATACATGGTCTTGGGGACACTCCCCACTTTATAGACATAACTAATGGTTCAGCCTGTCCATCCATCTATCCACCCACATACCCATGTTTGCCTTCACTGACAGTGCAATACTGTATGTGTAAGAGGGGTCATCTTTGTTATCTGTACCTCCCATATACCTCTCTATATATTCCTCTTCCTTAATGCCACTATGTTGATCATTCACATTTGGTATATTGCCCTTCTTTTCACCCAAATCAATACTTATGTCTACCTATCTAACAGTGTTCCCTCCCTTCCCCTTCCACTCCTGGTAACCAACAAAGAAAATATCCTTCCATAGATAAACCTTTCCTTGAGTTTTACAATAATAGGCTAACACAATATTTGTCCTTCTGTGATTGACTCATTTCACTCAGCATGTCCTCCAAGTTCATCCACGTTATGCGGTGTTTTGCAGATTCTAGGTTATTTGTTAGGGTTGCATTGTATTCCATTGTGTGTATGTACCAAAGTTTGGTTATCCATTCCTCAGTTGATGGACACCTAGGTTTTTTCCATCTTTTGACTATTGTAAATAGTGCTGCAATGAACATGGGTGTGCATATGTCTGTTATTGGCATGGCTCTCACTACTTTAGAATATATACCTAGTAATGAAATGGCTGGGTAAAATGGTATTTCTAATTCCAAGTTTTTAAGAAATCGCCATACTGCTTTTCACAGTGGTTGTACCATTTTACAGTCCCACCAGCAGTGTATGAGAGTCCCAATCTCTCCACATCCTTGCCAGCATTTGTTATTTTCAACAACAATTTTTTAAAAGTAAAACCTATTAGGTCACAAA